ATTTATAGTGGAAACATGTTTGTTTTCTGCCAAGAGGGCCTGCCCATCAAAAAGTGCTGCTTGTTTGATGCTGATGTATTCAAACCCCTGTACCTCCTTCAGCGGCTCTGGAGGGACCAAACCTTGCCCAGACAGGTACACAAAGCAAATCCCCCAACTTTACTCCATGCTTCCCTTTAAAATGTTGTCCTTTTGGTCTAACCACCATTCAAAATTTATATTAACTTTTTGATGTAAACTCACTGGACAAATTAAGGTTTCCCTTATGAATCCTTAAAAGAGGCAACTTTGCAGGGGTTTTTTTTTTTGTACTACCATTTATTGGCCTAACCCTTGGTTTCTGGAAAAAACATTACCAATTAAAAAAAAAGTGGAATGGGCCCAAGGCGAATTGATGTTAGGAAGACATTTAAGGTGATTTTCCAGAGGGAAAGAGGAGGCCGCTTTTGAGCTTTTTTTTTTTTCTCGCTACTTTTTTAAAGACTTGCGCTGCTGTGTAAGCACGTTGCCAAATGACAAAACGCCGCAGGTCACAGGTCACATGCGCACCTGACATAATACGTGTACTTACGTTTATATCATGGTTTAATTGACCAAGATAAATGCAGGTCAGACAATTCGTTAACCACAATTACAATTTATTTGGGTTTCAACTATTTGATTATTAGTATTATATTATTATATGTTAATATTTGTCACTTTTCTATTGCTTAATTGATCCGTCCAACTTCACTTTATATTTTGTTATGTTCAGAGTTGTTATTCAAAGTGAGGGAGTATCAAGTCACTGGGGGTGGCAATGCACCCTTGTGCAGCCCCGTAAAATGGAGCCTGCGATTCGGGTCTCTGACGCAGCGGGAGCGGTCACTCAGTCTCTCTACCGCGCTGACTCCTCTGTGACTACCTTAGGGCAGCTCTCGCCAGAAGGCGATCGCTCCTCTGCTCTCCCGCCGTCCATCTCTTTCGTTTCCTATCCTTCCACACCTCGTACTCTCCACAGCTTTATCAGGAAACCGTATTACTTCTCTCTCCCCCCCCTTCGCTGCTCCTCTCTCTCTCCCCTCCGGTACACGGCACCGTAAGACGTAGTGTGGAGTTGCATTAGGTAACGCTGTGGTGGCTGTACTGCTCCAGCCGTCTCCTTTGTGTTTGTTTGTTTCCCCCTGTCTGTGTTGTTTGTGTGTGCGTGGTGGCTGTCACTCCTGGCTCCCGGCTCAACCTCCACTCACCTGCTGCAATCAGCTGTGCACCCTCCCCGACTACACACCTGCTTTCCATCAAGCCATTTACAACGGCATATCAACGGAGGCTCCACAACCTTTCTCCGCCAGATCGTCAAGTATCAGCCGTATCTCGCGTCTCTCCTCCGGTACACAGCACCGTAGTGTGGAGTTGCATTAGGTAACGCGAGATACGGCTGATACTTGCGCATTAGTTTCTGTTATGGATCAGTATCAACAGTCCTGCCAGTAACGTTACTATATTATCAATGCTACTTTAGTTATAGCCTGATATAGGATAGCTAACTTTACAATGTTGTGATGTGACGTTAGCTAACATTCTGTAGCTAACGCCGGTCACTCACCAAGATAGCTGCCCAGTTCTCCACTGGTTCTCCACACACCACAGCTCAATTTCTCTCCGATGGCCGTTATTTCTTCTAATCCTTGGCTGCTCCGGGTCTCTTGGACGCCGAGCAGGCTCATAATTATAAGGTTTTGGTCCGTCATATGCATTCGAATATTCATATTCAACTTCTTCTGTGTCTTCTGTGTCGAAACTAGCATTGGGATCCATGTTTATTAATACGTTACACCGGCCGCTCTCCCCCTTGTGTCCCCCGTGTTACGTCACCCCCGTGTTACGTCAAACGCGGGAGGTCACGTGCCGAGGCTTTTTTATGCGGAAGTGAACATTTCTTACAAAAACGACGCCAGATGTCACTGTAGTGTATATTTCTGTATGTTTTTCTTAAAATCTAATGTATTCATCATTTTCCTACACATTTATTCACAGGTGTCTTTAACCTGGAAGTTGCTCTTTAAACTGAGCTCGTTAGTGCAAAATCTCTCTAAACACAAATCTACATATAGCATTCATATTTACTTATTATTTTATAGTCTGTGTTGTGCATGTATCCACATTGCAGTTTTTACTTTTACCTAAATCTTATGTTATTACAGAAATATGCAATGACCAATGAAAAGTATTGCCTCCAGTATTTGTTAATGGGCTGATACCTTTCTCTGCCTGTATGTGTGTAATATGTTACATTTTTTGATAGATTTTTCTGAAACTATAAATATAACGTTATCGTCTACCGGCTGCCCCCCTGAGACTTCAACGCCGCCAACACCGTTTCCAGGCAACCGCAGCAGTCAGAGCTCCAACAAAAGC